AACGTATACCTGTTCAATTTATAGTTTGGTAATCTATACCTTCTGCCCGAGGGCAGCAACTCAAACTCTCTATACAGGATGTGTTTGGGGTCGCATGTGATTTTACGGCCTTGCTTTCTCACCATCTCCTCAAATATCTCCTGAAGAGAGGATGGTGGAAGCATGCCAATTATTTTTCCAGCCCTTTTTATCAAGCTCTGGAGTTGTGATTTAGATTTAACTGACAAGTTACCAAACCATGTTGTGATGACATAACGAATAATAGACTCAATTGCTGCCTTGTAGAACATTAACATGATACATTTCACCACTCCATGAACCCTGAGCCTACGCAGAAAATGCAGGCGCTGGCTTATGCTTTTATAAAACATTGTTTCTCTGTTTAAACACTCTATTTGTGTTGTGCTGATGGCCACTACAATGTAAAAACACTTCTATTGGCTAGCGCTCCAATACATTGTACGTGGTTAAGGGGCGGGACATCTCTAAGCGGTTGACCAATCACAACAGAGCCGGCCAGCTAACCAATCAGAGCAGACTGGGCTCTGGTTTCAGACAGAGGGTGAAAAGAGGTGCTGCAGAATGAGAACAATAATAATCTTTTATAAGTTTTAATACATCTTTTCATTAATTTAATAGGATTTTTTCTGTGGCACCTTCAAAATAAGAGTTCTGTATCCCTATGTTTGCATCGTATAATCATAAGAAAAACACACTTAAGTTGAAATAGTAAAGCTACAGATTGTTCTATAAAAAAATCATGTGGTCTCTCTGCAGACATGGAAGAACACTCTGGACCGTTACCCGGAGACGCTGCTGGGCTCTTCAGAAAAAGAGTTTTTCTACAACGAGGACACTCAGGAATTCTTCTTCGACCGAGACCCCGAAATGTTCCGGCACATTCTGAACTTTTACCGCACGGGGAAGCTGCACTACCCGAGGAACGAGTGCATCCAGGCCTTCGACGAGGAGCTGGCCTTCTACGGTATCGTGCCCGAGATCATCGGGGACTGCTGCATGGAGGTAACTGCACTTCCTGTTAAGGACAGAGACAAACATGTTGTTGTTTTTTTGTTTTTGTAATTGACTTTTTATTGGCATTTAGTTTCAAACAGGCAGTGAACAATTAGGCAGTAGACATGTCTTTACAGCAGAGTTATGGATCCGTGGAAACAAAATCAGGCCTATAGGGCTTTACATCGTGAGTCCACTTCTCACAAATGCTGTTATCTTTTCCATATTGTAAATATCCATTGAAATGTCCCAGATTGTTGTTGTTTTCAAATTCCCTGCAAAAGGAGATCGTGATGGAAATATGGAAACAGATTTCACTTTTATCCAAAGCAACTTACATACATTCAGTACTGGGGACAACCCCCACAGGAGCAATTTGGGGTGAAGTGTCTCAGGGACACAGCGACATGCTGACTGCAGTGGGGTTTGAACCTGTGCTCCCCTGATCCAAACACCAACGCACTAACCCACTGCGCCACACGCCTCCGAATACACTATTGATTTGATTTGATTTATTTCAAATGTGTAAAACAATAATACAAAAAAAAAAAAAGAATGAAATGAAACATGAGAATTATTATACTATACAAACTCAAGCAGTGTCAAATTGATAAACAGAAATATTAGTGAAAATTATATTATATACAAACAAATGATTTACTTAATTACACATCCGAAAAGCGGTGGGAAGAAGATAACACTTATTTAATCCCACCTCTTCTCCCAAAAACTAAATTATTAACGTATATACATGTATATATATATATTGTTTTTTTCTTAAAGTATCTCTAGTCCAAGCCATCTATTAATATTTGGGTATATTTGACTGCTGCATGGAGGTAACTCCACTTCCTGTTCAGAGCACAGAACATAATAATATTATAAAATGTTGATAATAATAATAATAATAATAATAATAATAATAATAATAATGGTGTTTTCAAAATCCATACAAAGGAGATTGTGATGGAAATATGGAAAAGCAAAAGATGTGAAGTTGGTATTGACATTTTGCATCATGGTTGTTATTTATATACTGTATACAATTATACATATTAGATATCATTTTATATATTTTACTTATATTTAACCATTATATATCAATGACTGTTTAGGTATATTTTATTCGAGTGTAAAAGTAACTCTCTCAGTGACTCTTGTTCATTTTGTTTATCTATTTCTACATAAATATCCAATTAAAAAGACTATTTATAACTTGATTAGCATTGAGAACATACTCTCCACTTACTGAAGAGCTCAAGAACATATATATATATATAAATACTTGAGTTTGGTATTCAAATGTAATACTTATTTTTTAAATGTATATATTAATTAAAAGTCAAATATTGAAAGCTTTAAACCAGAAACCTTTTTAAAACTTGTACACAATCTAGTATTATATAGGTTTTCACTATAATGAAAGCAACAATTCAAATTATGAAGAAGTATAGTATAGTTTTAATCAAGGAAACGGTTAACAAGAACAAATAATAAGCTTCTTTTTTTTTAACATGAGCCTCATGTTATGGACTTCATTTTAAGTTTGCTGCTCAGAAAAGTACTTTTTATTTCTAGATTTGATTTGCAGATCATCTTCCACAACAGTTCACAGTGCTGCTACTGATGAAGATCCCACCTTTCTATGCAGTGACAGTCCTGTAAAGGAGGACACACTGCTCTTACTTCCACATTTTTTACATCACTTGCGTCATGACTCGTGTACTTCGGTTGATGCAGTGACCTTTGGATTTATTCCTGAAGCTTCACTGTAATGTTGGTGATTCTGCTGCTGCACTCATTCAGTCCCTTTGGAGCGGAGATCATCAGCTAAATGAGTAAAGTGTAAAAACATGGAGTGATCTGAGGAGGGGGGTTTCTAACAAGCGCTGCTGTCAGACTTCATTATAAAACTCATTAACACGGCAGTAATGAGCTGAAACACCGGAAGCTCACATGCAAGAGAGTGGTGAGAGCAGGGATGTAGAGCCAACCCTGACATTAGTATTGTAATGGCTCCCATGGCCAAAAGCCAGTGGGATTTTTCCATCCGGAAATATTCTGTGTGTCAAACAAACGTTTATCATACTTACACGTTTTGTTCAGCAGGATAATCTCCACTTATGAACACCACTTTATGATTTGAGAAGTAATGTTGGGCTATAAAGGAACTACAGCACGGTCACATGACTTCACGTCACCACCGCTAAGCTAAAGGTGGCTAATGTTGGGCTATAAAGGAACTACAGCATGGTCACATGCCTTCAGGTCAACACCGCTAAGCTAAAGGCGGCTAATGTTGGGCTATAAAGGAACTACAGCACGGTCACATGACTTCACGTCACCACCGCTAAGCTAAAGGCGGCTAATGTTGGGCTATAAATGAACTACAGCACGTCACCACCGCTAAGCTAAAGGTGGCTAATCTTGGGCTATAAAGGAACTACAGCACGGTCACATGACTTCACGTCACCACCGCTAAGCTAAAGGTGGCTAATGTTGGGCTATAAAGGAACTACAGCACGGTCACATGACTTCACGTCACCACCGCTAAGCTAAAGGCGGCTAATGTTGGGCGTGATGCATAGTCGTCTCATTTAGACACTTGTTAGCAACCGCTGTTTTTAAATTCACGAGTGGGTTTTTTACTAACGTCGTTGTAGGAGCCGCATTTAAGTTTATTTTGTTTTGATTTATTTGGAACCTTTATTAATGCATTTTTCTGTTTCAGTGAGAGGTGTGCTTTGCTGAGGTGAAGGGGGCGGGGCTAAGGCTTTAAGTTGGAGGTGTGTGTGTGACGGGAGAGCAGCAGGCAGCAGCAATACCGTTATTGACACGCAGACGTAACCTTATACTTAGCAAAAGACAGATTATTAGGATCTGCTGTTTAAGTTTATGTTAAATATTGTTTTTGTATTTTGTTTTATGTTTGCTGGAAATAAACCTTGAAAAGACAGACCGAAACGTCCAGTGGATTTTGTACTGCGAGTCTGACACTGCTTCCCAGGCCCAAGCTCTACATGTGGCCAAGAACAATAACTTTTGAGGTATCGAGTTACAAGACAAACCTTTTGGGATTTTGGCCACTACAGTCTTAGAACTAACTAAAATCTCTTCAGCTTGTGCTAACCACAGAACTTTTTTCAGTCTAACAACCAAATAGACATTCAAAAGACCATTGAGCTCCAGACGAGGGAACAGGAAGTGCTGAAATACTAATTTCCAGGTTATAGGACTCATCCCAGCACCTTTTAATGCTCCTGATTTTGGCTTCCTACTTGAGTTTTCTGTATGTTTTATTATTAACGTCCCTACTTAAATAACAAATCACCTTCAGAGCTCTTCATATACCCGTTTGTCAAATTACCCTCGTCTTCACTTGCTCTTAAATCTTCATATAATTTGTTTTAGATTGGACCAGTGCACTGACTAATGAGCTGCAAATATATTTCCTCACATTTGGCAGACTCAAAAATGTTGTTTTAACTGTGAGAGATTCTCATTTCTGGATTTGTTCTCTCACACTTCCCACACAACTTCCCATGAGAAACAGTCCACATGCTTTTTCTTTTTATACTGCTAGTAATTTCTGCTGCCTTTCTTCTCTGGTAATTATTGAGGCAAAAACATTCACAGAAGCAGATTTACTTCCTTTGAGACAAGTGTATTAATCACTCTGGAGGTCACTGCCTTTTGTGGGAGTTTAAAATCTTATTAATGTATTTCACTTTCTATTTATTAACTATAGTTGGCTTGCTGGCTTGGTAACCGCCGACAAGTGCTTGGTGGCTCTAAATACATTCAATTGAGGCTGTGCAAAATGGGTTATTGGTGTTTCAATAGAAAATGCTCTGTATTTCTTTAGGAGATACTTTGTCAATACCTGTGGTGGCATGTGATGTGGGACAACATTTCATTTATTCCCATTATTAGTGCACTATCTTGCTAAAAGCAGGAGAAGCCGCTAACCATATTGGCCCGGAGCTAATGGAAAACAAATACCTGATAGGACACAAAGCGACCATAGGGCTGTGAACATGGTTGTACTTTGTTTACCTTTCATAGGAACAACACTTAAATAGACAGTTGCACAAACAAAATAAAATGGTTTGCTTCATCAGTTTTGACAGGAAACAAGATTGTTTCTGCTGTGCCGCCTTCAAAATAAGAGCTTTCCTCTTTGCCAGCAGGTTGACAGCATCATCCAATTAAAAAAAAAAAAAAATACATCTTTAAAAAAAAGAAGAAATGTGAGTTATCATAAAGCATAACATATATTAAAATGACTAACTATTCTAGATTGACATGTAGACATGAACCTAACAGGAAATTCTTACATTTTCAACCTTTTTTCTCATTATTTAAAGGTGGGGTAGGTAATTCACTTCAGAAACACTTTTTGTTATATTCCATGGAACGCTCTTAACATCCCGATAGCAATGAATACATTAAATACTTTGACAAAAAATCCATACAAAAATGTCATCTGTGGAAGCCGTGGCGCTGTAAAGAGCACGACCAATCATCTGAGCCGGCTAAAGTAACTGGATGGCCTACCTGCCTGTCAGCCTTCCATCTGTGCACAAACTTATCTCGTGCCCTCATTGGTCATGTGCGCGTTCGTGTGTGTTGGAGGAGGGGCTCTGTAAGGAAGTGGCACTTTTTCTTTCCGGTTGTGTATTTTCAAATTCTAGCGCACTCGAGCCGGTTTCTCCATTCTTACCTACCCTACCTTTAAGTTGAAAAGCAAGATAATAAACCATTTATTAAATCACTTTTAGTTTAAGCAAGACTTATTAACCTGTTAAACCCGGTTGCCCCCGCCGTTAATAGTTGTAATAGGATGATTTACTAAATCGGACTCTACACCGTCAATGATACTTTTGGTTTTACTCATATATCATCTTCCAGCTGCCAAACAAATTATTTTGCATTTCTTTGTTTTTAGGATTTTGTATTCTGACTTACTGTGAGGAACCATGTGATCTCTAACTTGATGAAATATGATAAATAATGAGGCTGATCTGGTCTCTCTCTCTCCCTGTCTTTGTGCAGGAATACCGGGACAGGAAAAAGGAGAACCAGGAGCGCCTGGCGGAGGACACGGAGGCCAACGAGGGGGTTGACGCCCCGCTGCCCCCCAACAGCACCTCCAGGGAGCGGCTGTGGCGAGCCTTCGAGAACCCGCACACCTCCACCATGGCTCTCGTCTTCTACTACGTCACCGGCTTCTTCATCGCCGTGTCGGTCATCGCCAACGTGGTGGAGACGGTGCCGTGCCGGCCGCCCTTAGGCAGCGTGAAAGATCTGCCGTGCGGCGAGAAGTTCAAGGTCCCCTTCTTCTGCATGGACACGGCCTGCGTGCTCATATTCACCTTCGAGTATCTGATGCGCCTTTTCGCCGCGCCCAGTCGCTGCGATTTCATGCGCTCCGTGATGTCCGTGATCGACGTGGTGGCCATCATGCCGTACTACATCGGCCTGGTGATGCCGGAGAACGAGGACGTGAGCGGCGCCTTCGTCACGCTCCGGGTTTTCCGCGTCTTCCGCATCTTCAAGTTCTCGCGCCACTCGGCGGGCCTGAGGATTTTGGGCTACACGCTGAAGAGCTGCGCCTCAGAGTTAGGCTTCCTGCTGTTCTCTCTCACCATGGCCATCATCATCTTCGCCACCGTCATGTTCTACGCCGAGAAGGGCACCAAGGGCTCCACCTTCACCTCCATCCCCGCCTCCTTCTGGTACACCATCGTCACCATGACAACGCTCGGGTGAGTTGAGAACTTCAATATCTGGAGGCGAAAAGCAAGGATTGTTTTTTGTTTCAGAATCAGAAGAGGTTTATTCGTCACAAAGAGGGGGCATTAGACGACCCAGTGGTGAGTAGGAGCTGCTGTATTGCTACGCAAGAAACCTCTGCAAGAGTTTAAAGGTTTCATAACGTTTTAGAAAACGCTCTGTGCTTTTCTTTTTACTCTAATGGTAATCGAGCAGTATCTGTTCCCACGGCGGTGACCCTGTCCTTCATCTCGCCTCCTGTGCAACTTCAAGAAAATGGTGCATGGTTCAGCAGTAATGTCTTTCCTCCATTTTCTCCATGCCTAAAGAACGAGGGCAGTTCCAGGGTGCAGTTGCTATATTCATTAGGTGTGCTGTTACACTGAGGTAGTGATGGTTTTCCATTTGGTGCATTGGCTTGTGTCGGTTACTCTGCCTTTGAACTGCCATGTAATTCAAGGTAAACATCCACACTGGAGTTACGGCAGGAAGTTGTGATTGTTGTTGGGTGATCTTTTTTTAAAGCCTTAAAGTTGCAGATTAATCGTGAGAGGTACTGTGTTACCGTTAACAGCCCCTAGTGTGTATAAAGTTGTCAGGATTCGTGAATGTTAGGACTCAAATGCAGTTAAAAAGGGAAGCGGGTTTCAAAACAAAAGCGAGCTTTAATTAATAAAAGCTGTTGACATGGCAAACAAAACAAAATCATAATCCAAACAGACAGCATGAGGACAAAAACCAACCTGGAACGTGACAAACATGGAGGGTGAGAAAAGAGAACGAACCGACATGGAGCACAGGGGAAGACAAGGCACAGCTGGGCAGGGGATGCAGAAACGGAAGGGCAACAGGTGAACACAATCAGACACTCAGACACAGGAGGGCAAACACAGGAAGGAAGACAAGAGACAGGGAGAACAGAATTTCAAAAATAAAAACATGACTAGACAGACAAAACTAAAACCAGAAGTGACAGAAGTGCTGTAGTGATGATGTATGTTGTAGGCCAACCCGGAAATTACCATCACAATGATTACCTCAATAAAACACCAATGTGATTTATATCATTGAATTTTTGAATATATTGCAGTGGAAATAAGATCAAATCAAACCAGTGGGGTATTTACTAACATATTTCCTGTCCTAGGACAACATCTCACTTGCTGGTTTTAACCACAGACCTTTATTCAGGCTAACAATCAAAAACACATTCATAAAACCATTGAAATCCAGTGAAGAGAACAGGAAGTGCTAAAATACGGACTCATTTATAGGTTTTATGACACATTCCTGCCCCCATTATTTTCTTCTCCGACTGCTGTGAAAAACACTGCTGTGGCTGTTAATATGATCACCATGGCAACTTGGTGTGTGTGTGTGTGTGTGTGTGTGTGTGTGTGTGTGTGTGTGTGTGTGTGTGTGTGTGTGTGTGTGTGTGTGTGTGTGTGTGTGTGTGTGTGTGTGTGTGTGTGTGTGTGTGTGTGTGTTCTCCGCTCTCCTGTTTTGTTGTGTGTGACGGATTATTGGTCGTTGTTACTGGTTACGGAGGAGTTTTACAGTCTGTTTTTCCACCAGGAAAAGAGATGAAAGTGTGAAACCGCTTCTCCAGTACGATGGTGTATCTTCACCCTGCTGCCGCCCACACACACACACACACACACACACACACACACACACACACACACACACACACACACACACACACACACACTCCAGCTCTCCAGCACTGATCTATTATCTGCTGTTCAAAGGGCCTTTGGAAACATCAGAAATAGAGAGTGAGTCAGTGAGAGTATAAGCTCTGACTGTAATGCTTTTAACACACACACACACACACACACACACACACACACACACACACACACACACACACACACACACACACACACACACACACACACACACACACACACACACACACTTGGCTATATGACTCTATACACTTGGCTATATGACTCTATACACCTACCTGTCTGTGAATGAGGGAGATGTAGTGTGGGTTAGCGAGGTGTGAATGGGAGAGTGTGAATGACTGTAGTAAAAACCAACAGGAGTGTGAAGAAGCTTTTGTTCGTTTTATTGAATGAAAAACTTTATTTTTATCCCCAAAAAATGTTTAAATTCAGTGGAGTTTAGTGTGGGGAGTCACACTTTTTTAAAATGATCAACTGTAATGTGTCTTTAGCTCTCAGGTCTCTTATTTTGGCGGTGTTGGTTGTTTCCTATTCACTGAGGCTTTTTTTCTGAAAAGCTCCCTCCCATCTACTGTTATCGCTTCCTTTCCTCTCTTCTTGTTTCCTCTTTCCTTCTCATTTCCTTGTTTCCTCCCTTTCTCTCCCCCTTTCTCTATCCTCACTTGATTACCTCTCACTTCCTCTCCTGTTCTTCCTCCTTGTTTCCTCTCCTCTTCTCCCTTCTTCACTCCCTTCTTCACTCCCTTCTCCTCCTATATCTCTGTGATTTCATCCTCAAGTGATAATGTGACAGGGATCTGGTATCTCCTTGCAATAGTTTAATAAAGGGAAGTGGTTTTCTCTGCCTTCTGGATGCATTTACAGACTAACCACAAGGCATCAAAACACAACCCAGGCTTTTACCTCCCCCCTTTTCCTCACCCCTTCCTCTACTCTCAGTTACTTCCTGTTTCCTTTTAGGCCGTATCTCTCCATTTGTCTCCTCTGTATAAAAGGAGGTGTTGATTGTATTTATCACCAAGATCCAGATGTTCAGAGAAGTAGATTGATAAGAAGACTCTTGTGTGTTCTTGTCTAAAAGGTTGTTTTTATTTATAAATGACGTTAAGTTTGGTTAAAGTTGCGTCATGTGGTGTTGCAGAAAAGTGAAAGACTTTTCCCTTACCTGATATTAAAGAAACCTGGCTTCATTAAAAATGTCAGGATTGTATCTTCTATAAAACTTAATTGACCAACAACTAACAAACATATGATTGTGTTTATTCATTAACCCCCTCGCAGTTCTCCAAAGAGGTGTCATGGAGGAAATCTGGATTAAATATATTTTGGCATGAGTCCTAAAGTCAGTCCTTTAAGCCCTTTAAGTCACACTGTCCCGAAATTGACACCAGATGGACACACGATAAAGGAAATGTTCAAATTTGGCTCTGATCGTAACAACATCGGGCCATTCGTGAGGGCATCTTAAGTATGACCGCCGGTGGAGTTTCTCAGGCTCCGGCAGCAACTTCGTGAGCGGTGGCAAAATCTTTGGCATGCCACAAAGATTGCTGAAGGACCTTGCGAAGGTTCATTTCATCGTGTTGAATTCGTGTGTCCATTTTGCCCTTCGTTAGGCCATTCGTGAGGGCATCTTGTCAAATCGTGTCATCTTCGTCTGATCATCGGGGCATTTTCCACCTCACGAAGGAAACAAGAAGCTGCCCGATTGTCTTAGGAAGGCAACACGACTACGTGAAGCCCTCGCAATGCCGTCGTGTAGCCATCGTATTATAGTACAATGTGTGTTCCGTGAAACTGAAAAGGACATTACATTGTTTTTGTTTCTTTCGTTGCAGTTGTATGTCTTAAATGTAATTTAGGTTAACTTCCTGTTTTATTTAGATGCTTTTATTTTGAAGGCGAGTTTACGCTGTTGAAAGAAAGTTGTTGTTGCTATGGAAACAACATGACGGAGTGTGTGGTTCGGGTTCCATTGTGTGGCCTTCTGTAGGCAGCGTACTTGCTTCGGCTGTTGCTTGGCTGTTGACCAAGTTCGGGGCCATGTTCGTGCAAAATTCACAATTCCATATTCGTGTGTCCATCTGGGGTCAATTTCGGGACAGTGTGACGCGGGCTTATGAAGATCATAATTATGATATATATGAATCTTCCTTTACAGGACAAGCTCTGAACGTTTATTCACCACATTAAAGAGCAGACACACGATCCTCTCTAAAACCACAGAGAACATCTCATGTATGTTGATTTCAGACTCTTTGACTTTGCTCTATTTCACAGAGTTTCTCATGCATTTCATTCATAAATATTACAGAGCCTGTTCACACGTCACTGAATAATAATGTTTGTTTAAATATCACAGTGGTTTATTGTTGCTGTGAGCTTCTCCTGGTTAGGATTCCTTCAGTGTTCATGGTTCAGGAGGTTTTTTAGCATCTCAAAACCTGTGAATTGTCACGATCTGTCTGTGTTGTGTTTTGTCTTGTCTTTTTCTGTCTTTGGTTTCCTGTTTTATTTTGAAAAGTGTTCACCCCCTGTCTTGCCTGTTGCTTTCTGTCTGTTCCCTCCCTGATTACCCGATTGTGTTCACCTGGTGCCCCTGTGTTTTCTCCTCCCTCCTCACCTGTCTCTTGTTTGTTTGATTAGTCCTGTGTGCATTTAGGTTCTGTGTTTTCTGTTAGTCTTTGTGAGTTCCTAACTGTAGTTTGACTGTGTTCACGGGGAAGAGAGTTCAGCTCTGTATCGGTAGCCTTGAAATAAAGGTATTTTCTGTTTATCTGCATTTGGGTCCTGCTNNGCCTCACTCAACCCTGACATGAATAAACGTTCAGCTTGACGTTAAAAATCAGGTTCTCTTAGTCTGCCGCTAACGTTAGCTCAGCTTGTGTCTCCGTGAACTTCACTTCCAGACGTCCCATCACTAAAATCTTTCATCCAGTTAAAATATAGAGTAAAAAGCACCAAGATGGGCTTAAAAATGTGGCTTAAAAATGAATAAAAAGTCAATTTATGACAGCTTCGGACAGACAACGGTAACACGCTCAAAGGAGAACATGATCACAGGACACTACAGGAAACAAATGTATTTTTAAAGACTAAATATGTGTTGAAATACATTTTTAACGAAGTATTGTGGAGCTTCAGAAATATCGTATTCTACAAATTTAACAAAACATATTTGTTTGGTACAGATCCTCCTCTTCAGGCCTAATGAACACACATCTATTTCAGGTTATCAATAAAAAACAAAGTGTCATATTATTATGAAAATGGTCCATGTTATATTTTGAGTTTAAGGCCTTTC